TGTTTGTTATTGATTTTTTAACTAACAATGTTTCATTTGAAGCTATTAGAAATTTGAATTTTTGAATGCGAGTGGTTAGCTGTGTAACATTTGTGGTTAGCTGTGTAAAATGTAAAATGTTAGGTTAGCTGTGTAGCATGTCTGGTTAGCTGTGTAATGTGTGGTTAGCTGTTTAATGTGTGGTTAGTTGTTTGACCTGTGTAGTTATCTGCGTAATATGTGTGGTTAGCTGTGTAAAATGTGTGGTTAGCTGTGTAAAATGTGTGGTTAGCTGTGTAACATGTGTGGTTAGCTGTGTAACATGTGTGGTTATCTGCGTAATATGTGTGGTTAGCTGTGTAAAATGTGTGGTTAGCTGTGTAACATGTGTGGTTAGCTGTGTAACATGTGTGGTTAGCTGTGTAACATGTGTGGTTAGCTGTGTAAAATGTGTGGTTAGCTGTGTAAAATGTGTGGTTAGCTGTGTAAAATGTGTGGTTAGCTGTGTAACATGTGTGGTTAGCTGTGTAACATGTGTGGTTATCTGCGTAATATGTGTGGTTAGCTGTGTAAAATGTGTGGTTAGCTGTGTAACATGTGTGGTTAGCTGTGTAACATGTGTGGTTAGCTGTGTAACATGTGTGGTTAGCTGTGTAAAATGTGTGGTTAGCTGTGTAAAATGTGTGGTTAGTTGTGTAAAATGTGTGGTTAAAATGTGTGGTTAGTTGTGTAAAATGTTGTGGTTAGCTGTCTAATATGTGTGGTTAGCTGTGTAAAATGCGTGGTTAGCTGTGTAAAATGTGTGTGGTTAAATGTTTAATGTGTGTGGTTAGCTGTGTAACATGTGTGGTTAGTTGTGTAAAATGCGTGGTTAGCCGTGTAACATGTGTGGTCAGCTGTGTAACATGTGTGGTTATCTGTGTAACATGTGTGGTTAGCTGTGTAACATGTGTGGTAAGTTGTGTAAAATGTGTGGTTAGCTGTGTAACATGTGTGGTTAGTTGTGTAAAATGTGTGGTTAGCTGTGTAACATGTGTGGTTAGCTGTGTAACATGTGTGGTTAGCTGTGTAACATGTGTGGTTAGTTGTGTTACATGTGTGGTTAGTTGTGTAAAATGTGTGGTAAGCTGTGTAACATGTGTGGTTAGCTGTGTAAAATGTGTGATTAGCTGTGTAATATGTGTGGTTAGCTGTGTAACATGTGTGGTTAGTTGTGTAACATATGTGGTTAGTTGTGTTATATGTGTGGTTAGCTGTGCAATATGTGTGGTTAGCTGTGTAACATGTGTGGTTAGCTGTGTAAAATGTGTGGTTAGATGTTTAATGTGTGTGGTTAGTTGTTTGACCTGTGTGGTTAGCTGTGTAATATGTGTGGTTAACTGTGTAAAATGTGTGGTTAGCTGTGTAACATGTGTGTGGTTAGATGTTTAATGTGTGTGGTTAGATCTTTAACATACGTTGTTAGCTGTGTAATGTGTGTGGTTAGTTTAGTAACATGTGTGGTTAGCTGTGTAACATGTGTGGTTAGCTGTGTAAAATGTGTGGTTAGCTGTGTAACATGTGTGGTTAGTTGTGTAAAATGTGTGGTTAGCTGTGTAACATGTGTGGTTAGCTGTGTAACATGTGTGGTTAGTTGTGTAACATGTGTGGTTAGCTGTGTAACATGTGTGGTTAGCTGTGTAAAATGTGTGGTTAGCTGTGTAACATGTGTGGTTAGTTGTGTAAAATGTGTGGTTAGCTGTGTAACATGTGTGGTTAGCTGTGTAACATGTGTGGTTAGCTGTGTAACATGTGTGGTTAGTTGTGTAAAATGTGTGGTTAGCTGTGTAACATGTGTGGTTAGCTGTGTAACATGTGTGGTTAGCTGTGTAAAATGTGTGGTTAGCTGTGTAATATGTGTGGTTAGCTGTGTAACATGTGTGGTTAGCTGTGTAACATGTGTGGTTAGTTGTGTAACATGTGTGGTTAGCTGTGTAACATGTGTGGTTAGCTGTGTAAAATGTGTGGTTAGCTGTGTAACATGTGTGGTTAGTTGTGTAAAATGTGTGGTTAGCTGTGTAACATGTGTGGTTAGCTGTGTAACATGTGTGGTTAGCTGTGTAACATGTGTGGTTAGTTGTGTAAAATGTGTGGTTAGCTGTGTAACATGTGTGGTTAGCTGTGTAACATGTGTGGTTAGCTGTGTAACATGTGTGGTTAGTTGTGTAACATGTGTGGTTAGCTGTGTAACATGTGTGGTTAGCTGTGTAACATGTGTGGTTAGCTGTGTAAAATGTGTGGTTAGCTGTGAAACATGTGTGGTTAGTTGTGTAAAATGTGTGGTTAGCTGTGTAACATGTGTGGTTAGTTGTGTAACATGTGTGGTTAGTTGTGTAAAATGTGTGGTTAGCTGTGTAATATGTGTGGTTAGCTATGTAACATGTGTGGTTAGCTGTGTAACATGTGTGGTTAGTTTAGTAACATGTGTGGTTAGTTGTGTAAAATGTGTGGTAAGCTGTGTAACATGTGTGGTTAGCTGTGTAAAATGTGTGATTAGCTGTGTAATATGTGTGGTTAGCTGTGTAACATGTGTGGTTAGTTGTGTAACATATGTGGTTAGTTGTGTTATATGTGTGGTTAGCTGTGCAATATGTGTGGTTAGCTGTGTAACATGTGTGGTTAGCTGTGTAAAATGTGTGGTTAGATGTTTAATGTGTGTGGTTAGTTGTTTGACCTGTGTGGTTAGCTGTGTAATATGTGTGGTTAACTGTGTAAAATGTGTGGTTAGCTGTGTAACATGTGTGTGGTTAGATGTTTAATGTGTGTGGTTAGATCTTTAACATACGTTGTTAGCTGTGTAATGTGTGTGTTTAGATGTGTAACATGTGTGGTTAACTGTGTAATGTGTATGGAAATATTTCTAACATGTGAGGTTAGCTGTGTAATGTGTGTGTTTAGATGTGTAACATGTGTGGTTAGCTGTGTAATGTGTATGGAAATATTTCTAACATGTGAGGTTAGCTGTGTAATGTGTGTGTTTAGATGTGTAACATGTGTGGTTAGCTGTGTAATGTGTATGGAAATATTTCTAACATGTGAGGTTAGCTGTGTAATGTGTGTGTTTAGATGTGTAACATGTGTGGTTAGATGTTTATCATACGTTGTTAGCTATGTTACATGTGAGGTTAGCTGTGTAAAATGTGAGGTTAGCTGTGAAATGTTTGTGGTTAGATGAGTAACATGTGTGGTTAGCTGTGTAATGTGTGTGGTTAGATGTGTAACATGTGTAGTTAGCTGTTTGGCTAGCTTTTTAATGTGTGTGGTTAGCTGTGTTGTATGTGTGGTTAGCTGTGTAATGTGTGGTTAGCTGTTTGGTTAGCTGTTTATTGTGTGTAGTTAGATGTGTAACATGTGTGGTTAGCTGTGTAATGTGTGTGGTTATATGTGTAACATATGTAGTTAGCTGTTTGGCTAGCTTTTTAATGTGTGTGGTAAGCTGTGTGACATGTGTGGTTAGCTCTGTGACATGTGTGACTATGCTGTGTAATGTGTGTAGTTAGCTGTTTAATGTGTGGTTAATCGTGTGACCTGTGTGGTTATTTGTTTAATGTGTGGTTAATCGTGTGACCTGTGTGGTTATCTGTTTAATGTGTGGTTAATCGTGTGACCTGTGCGGTAAGCTGTTTAATGTGTGGTTAGTTGTGTGACCTGTGTGGTTAGCTGTGTAACATGCGCGGCTATGCGGTGTAATGTGTGTAGTAAGCTGTTTAATGTGTGGCTAGCTGTGTGACCTGTGTGGTTAGCTGTTTAGTGGGGGTAGTTGTGGGACCTGTGTGGTTAGCTGTTTAGTGGGGTTAGTTGTGTGACCTGTGTGAAAAGCTGCTTAGTGGGGTTAGTTGTGTGACCTGTGTGGATAGCTGTTTAGTGGGGTTAGTTGTGTGACCTGTGTGGTTAGCTGTTTATTGTGTGTTTAGTTGTGTGACCTGTGTGGTTAGCTGTTTAGTGGGGTTAGTTGTGTGACCTGTGTGAAAAGCTGTTTAGTGGGGTTAGTTGTGTGATCTGTGTGGTTAGCTGTTTAATGTGTGTTTAGTTGTGTGATCTGTGTGAAAAGCTGTTTAGTGGGGTTAGTTGTGTGACCTGTGTGGTTAGCTGTTTATTGTGTGTTTAGTTGTGTGACCTGTGTGGTTTTTTGTTTAAAGTGTGGTTAGTTGTGTGACCTGTGTGGTTAGCTGTTTATTGTGTGTTTAGTTGTGTGACCTGTGTGGTTAGCTGTTTAGTGTGTGGTTAGTTGTGTGATCTGTGTGGTTTTTTGTTTAAAGTGTGGTTAGTTGTGTGACCTGTGTGTTTAGCTGTGTGATAGGTGTAGTTAGCTGTGTAATGTATGTGCTTAGCTGTGTGACAGGTGAGGTTAATTGTGTGACCTGTGTGGTTAGCTGTGTAAGGTGTGGTTAGCTGTTTAATGTGTGGTTTGTCGTGTGACCTGTGTAGTTAGCTGTGTGATTAGCTGTTTACTGTTTAATGTGTGTGATTAGCTGTTTAATGTGTGTGATTAGCTGTTTGACAGGTGCGGTTAGCTGTGTATTGTGTGTGGTTAGCTGTGTAAACTTCGCGGTTGTGTTTTTAACTTTTTACATTTTATTGACTATATTTGTTTATTATCTTCTCCAATTAGCGTTATTGTAAGGTGATGCTTTTAACAAAGTACCTAAGGCCCTACACAAAGATCGATAACGTAAAGAATTTGTACTCTATCAAATATATCCTCAATAGATATGATTGACATATAAAACTCGAGAATACTTCTACAAGTGTTTATCAGTAGCCTGCTATACTATTTCACAAGTCATGAACAACAGAAAGGAACTTCAAAATGTTGCTAAAATAAAATTGAAAGTATATAAAATGTATCCCTCGGGAATAATATGTTTTGTAGTTTTAAGAAATAATTTGTTAATTAATAGATGTAAAGATAGCTGGTCATACATACATGATTGTTTACAATTATTTTAGCTCCTTCCTAAATTATATTTATTTCCCATCAGATGATGACGACGAAGAAGATGGAGATTTGTCAGGAAATAATACGGAATGGGATTTCCTGTTACAATCGTTAACAAGCAAGGACCGAAAAGAAAACGATAAAGGGGCAACGAAAGGCTCAGACAACCTCAAAACAAATAAAACTGAAACTGAAAAAAGAACAGGAAGTAAGAAACAGAAGCCTGAAAACTCAAAACTCAGTTCAGATGGAAGCGATACATCGTCGTCATTGACATCTTTTGATCAAATCGGCGTCACGGGGTTCAGAATCAAACCGGAAATAGAGAACCCGTCATCGACCCTGGAAGTGTCCTCATTTCCAGAGCAAGGAAGCAACTCTCCAATAGTTACACCCACAACCGGACTTCTTCCGGTTCCAGAGGGACGGCACGGATTTGACAGTGATTCCCTTTCAGAGAGAGGGACATCGCCCGTCAAGCGTGAGTTTACAAACCAACCAAGATGTTGAGGACGTGTGTGTGGGTTCAAACCCGTTTATATCGGAACTCCGACAGATATATACATGTACAAGCCCTGTGTGATACTAGTGTTCCTCACCCCGGAGCGCTAATACCAAACATATTGGTCTCTAAAAATGTTATTTGATATGAAAATATTCATGTTTAATAAGCCGATATCAACAAAATGCCCTTTAATATATGAAATGAGCGGTTTAGAAACATTTTTGGTCAATGAAACGCACTAAACTGCAAATCAAATGCACCTTATTTGATTTTACTGCTTGGTGACTAAGAAACATAATCGATCAAAAATAGTACACGTGTGTGTCATGATGTTCAAGTTTATTTACATTTACACGTGTATGTTCTTGTGTTTACGTTTACACGATGTGTGTCTCTGTTCACATTTACACGTGTGCTTATTACTGTATTCATGTTTACAATTGTGTCACTTTTGTTTTTGTCACTGTGTTAATATTTACACGTGTATTTCTGTAGTCACATTTACATTTTGGTATCTTGGTGTTCATGTTTAACGTGTATCTAATTTTCTGCATGTTAAATCTTGTGTAACCGTATTCAGAATCACACGTACGCATTTTCTTGAATTTTAAACGTGTGTCTTGCGTGTCACTGTTAACATACGTGTCACTGTTAACATAAGTGTTACTTTGCTAACTGGTACATGCATATGTGTGTAATTGTTTACGCTGTCACGTGTGTGCCCATGTGTTTGGAGTTGACACAGTTGCGTGCCAATGTGTTCACGCATACAATATACACATGTACATACACAAAAAGTACTTGCGTGATAGTGTAAATGCGTATGTGTATATGTAGGTGTGTTGTGTATATCAAAGTGTGTATGTGTATATGTTAGTCCGTATGTGTATATGTAAGTGTGTATGTGTATATGTAAGTGTGTATGTGTATATGTAAGTGTGTATGTGTATATGTAAGTGTGTCTTGTATATGTATATGTGTTGGGTATATGTAGGTGTGTTGTGTATATGTAGGTGTGTATGTGAATATGTAGGTGTGTGGTGTATGTGAATATGTAGGTGTGTGGTGTATATGTAGGTGTGTTGTGTATATGTAAGCGTGTATGTGTATATGTAAGCGTGTATGTGAATACGTAGGTGTGTTGTGTATATGTAAATGTGTATGTGTATATGTAAGTGTGTCTTGTATATGTATATGTGTTGGGTATATGTAGGTGTGTTGTGTATATGGAGGTGTGTTATGTATATGTAAGTGTGTATGTGTATATGTAGGTGTGATGTGTATATGTAAGTGTGTATGTGTATATGTATTTGTATATGTAGATGTGTTGTGTATATGTAAGTGTGTATGTGTATATGTAGGTGTGTGGTGTATGTGAATATGTAGGTGTGTTGTGTATATGTAGGTGTGTATGTGTATATGTAAGTGTGTATGTGCATATGTAAGTGTGTATGTGTATATGTAAGTGTGTATGTGAATATGTAGGTGTGTTGTGTATATGTAAGTGTGTATGTGTATATGTAAGTGTGTATGTGTATTTGTAAGTGTGTATGTGTATATGTAGGTGTGTTGTGTATATGTAAGTGTGTTTTGTATATGTAAATGTGTATGTGTATGTGTATATGTAAGTGTGTATATGTATTTGAATATGTAGGTGTGTTGTGTATATGTAAGTGTGTATGTGTATATGTTGGTTTGTTGTGTATATGTAGGTGTGTATGTGAATATGTAGGTGTGTTGTGTATATGTAGGTGCGTATGTGTGTATGTGTATATGTAAGTGTGTATGTGTATATGTAAGTGTGTATGTGAATATGTAAGTGTGTATGTGTATATGTAAGTGTGTATGTGTATATGTAAGTGTGTATGGGTATTTGTAAGTGTGTATGTGTATATGTATGTGTGTTGTGTATATGTAAGTGTGTATGTGTATATGTAAGTGTGTATGTGTATTTGTAAGTGTGTATGTGTATATGAACATGTAGGTGTGTTGTGTATATGTAAGTGTGTATGTGTATATGTAGGTATGTTTTGTATATGAAGGTGTGTTTTTGTGTCTTTGTTTTGAGATAACAACAACTATTGTGTCTGGCTGTTACACAGAGAAGCACATTACGTCCAAGCTATACAAATAAGCTCTGTTATTAGATTTTCTGAGATTGGGTTTGCGATGCCGATATCACGTTGTATTGAGTATGAATTACCACTAACAGTCGCCACACGAGCCCTGCTATCATCTACAGTTATGATTACTTTGTTAATAATTTTTGGACACACTGTCAGAATTCCTTCTAATAAATATTTCGTCTTATTCTATTACCGTACGCAAGGGTTGTAGCTCCCCTCTCGCGTTCACACCAGCGCGCGTGACCCCGGCCCGCGCACGACCCGCCCCGCACAGCCCTACCAATGATTCTGAGCTCGGTACGTGATACGCAGCCAATCCCGCCTTGTCACCCCGAGTTGTGGAATCTGGAATGAATATTATCACCTACCCTCATCCTCTCGTCTGCTTCTTCCTTTGGGGAATTATCTTGCCCTACGATGTCGCGTA